GCCAGCTCAGGAATTCTGGGAGTTGAAGTCCACAAGGTCCTAAAAGGTGTATACTTGTCTAGAGGGAGGAAGACATAACTCTCCCTGGCTAGGTGTCCCCAGGAACGGATATCGGAAAGCTTGAAAAGTGCAAACGGGGATATGCAACCTGGGGCCCTGGAAGTGAAGACAAACCCTGTTGGAAGTTGGCCCAAGTGTCCATGTCAGCAACACCAAAGCAAAACCACACTAATTTTTCCATTCGTTGATGTTGAAGTCGCCGTCATTTCTTGAAGGGGTTTGGGGTTGTTGTTTTTTTTGGACAGGCTGCCTGGACCCATTGCCTTGTCCTAGGCAGAGATCGTGGGCTTCCTTTTGCCGCCAGTGAGTTATCGGTTATTTTTTTTTCTCTGGATTCTCTCCCAGGATTTGCAGCCTGTGGAATGCAAGGGAAAGCTTAAATCTGCGTTGGGAAAGCTTAAATCTGCAGGTTCCGGTTGCCGACTTAATAAAGAACTTGTGATGTTCAGTCTTAAGGTACTTTTCCAGCCTGACGTTGCCTCTGTTCTAGGGTAAAGCCGGGAGGAAGGAGCCCCTTGTCCTGGGAAGCCCCCGGACTGATATTTTTAATTTGAATTTTTGTAGCAAGGCTTTGGACTTTCGAGTTAAAAAAAAACCCCTAAAAACCTAGGTTAACAAAACATAGTTGTTGGCTCCCCCCCTAATATGTTGCGTCTGAACAGACGAGCAACCATAGTGGTCCAACTTAACTACTACTACTTAGTGGCAGAGTTCACACAACGTGCTAGAATCCTATTTTGCCGATCAGCTGGGACTCAATGGGAGGCGGAGAAGAGATGTGGTTGGCGGGGCCAGTCAGAGGTGGGATTGACCGGTTCTCCAGACTACTCAAAATTTCCGCTACCGGTTCTCCAGAACTGGTCCAAACTGGCTGAATCCTACTTCTGCTTCCCTTCCTTCTTTCCTTCCTTCCTTCCTTCCTTCCTTCCTTCCTTCCTTTCCTTCCTTTCCTTCCTTCCTCTTTCTCCTGTGATGTTCTATCACAGCTGGGCATTCTGTGTGAAGTCAGCAAATTGCGTTTATCCAGTGAGCCCGTTAGTCACACAGGGACACGGAAACCCAGTCGAGGCCACTGTTTGTTTTGGCTCACGGTTGTCTGCTGATTCCATCACCCATGATTTATTGCATTGTGCAGGGTCAGTTTGCTTTTGGGACAGACGTGCCTAGCCACGATCAACACAGGGAGGGGTTATGTAGTCCGTTTTCTTTCCACCTAATTGGGCTAATGAACGAATCCCCGGTCAGGGAACATGACGCAAGAGAGGGCTCGGTTGCCTCCCGCTGATGACCTGTTTCTCCCCACTTCCAAGCCACCCCCCTTGCTTCCCCCCCCCAGCTGATTTCCATGCCTGCCTGGGATGCTCCTGCATTAATGGCCTCGTTCTTGTCAGCAAAACCCGCTTCCCAGAGGCCCAGCTGGCTGAGACACGGGGATGGTTCAGCTTCGGGGATGGTTCAGCTTCGTGTCAGCAAGGTGTTTTTTTTTTTTTTTTGGGGGGGGGGGGGGGCGAAGAGGCCAAGATATACAGCATTTTCTGGCCGGGAGGGGGGGGGTGGGCGGGTGGGCGGGTGATGCTTCTGGAAGGTGTAAGGTTGGGGCCTTGGGATGGGGAGGGAACAGGAAAACCGAATGCAGTGCTGAGCATTTCTTTTGCAGGCTAAAATAAGGGTTGTAGGAATTGCACAGCTCCGGTTGAGTGAGAAGAAGGGCTCAAACTTATTCTCCAAAGCAGAGGTCTCCAAACTTGGCAACTTTAAGACTTGGGGACTTCCAACTCCCAGAATTCATAGCTGGCTGGAGAATTCTGGGAGTTGAAGTCCACACGTCTTAAAGTTGCCAAGTTTGGGGGCCTCTGGTCCAAAGCACCAAGAAGGCAGGACAAGAAACAAGGGTTGGAAACTGATCCAGGAGAGAGAGAAGCAACCTGAAATTCAGGAGAAACTTCCTCCAAGTGAGGACAATGAACCTTTGAAGTTGTGGGTGCTGGAGGTTTTTAAGGAGAGACTGGACAGTCCCTTGTCTGAAATGGAATATATAGGATCTCCTGCTTGACCAGGGGGCTGGACTAGAAGACCTCCAAGATCCCTTCCAGCTCTATTCTGATGATTCCTGGCACTGGACTCTTCGGGACAGAGGGTGGATGTTGCTCCTGGGATCTGTTGGAGCCGCCTTAAAACCTCTGAAGTTCAGCTTTGCTAAGGCAGCCGAGGAAGGGAGAAAAGTCAAAGCGTGGTGCAGGATACCCGCCTGGTTTCTTTGCGGTGACGTTGTCGCGATGATACGGAGAGCAGGTGGGGTTCTCTTGATTGTACTTCTGCTGGGTTTCCGAAGAGTGACTGAGTGGCCGTCTCAGGCGGTGTCCTTCTTAAGCAGACCCGACAGAGCCATGGGCAGCCCTCCCTTCTTTTCTGGCCCCTCTTCCACTTCAACAACACCTCTTCCCCCTCACCCCCAACCCCCCCCACCTACTCTTTTCTTGTGGCCTCTTAAAGACCAGCTGGGCAGAAAACAGCCAAGCTCTTTTGCAACAGATCTTGAATGGGCCTCAAATCTCCTGCAGGAGGGGAGGAAAAAAAATGGGCCCCCTGATGCTGTAATCCAGCTAATGCATGTGAACCTTTGACTGTTTGCTCAACCCACTTGGCTGGCTCTGGGGGGTCACGGCCCTGTTGATGTAAGGACAACCCACTCCCCAAAAAGAGCCAGCTGGTGTTCTAAACCAGGGATCTCCAACCTTGGCCACTTTAAGTCTTGTGGACTTCGACTCCCAGAATTCACAAAACACAAAGCACAGCAAAGTTCAAGGTTGTTCTAACAGACCTTAGAGCAGGGGTGTCCAACCTTGGCAACTTTAAGACTTGTGGACTTCCAAGCATTTAGGATAATAATAGCATATTATTATTATTATTATTATTATTATTATTATTATTATTATTATTATTATTA